TGCTGAGGAATCGAACCCAGGGCCTCATGCATGCAAGGCAAGCGCTCTACCACTGAGCCAACTTCCCAGCCCCCAAAATAATCTTGAGTTTTAATCAGCCTCATGAAGCTTTTTATTTCCCCCCTGTCCTGGGATTTAAACTCAGAGCCTCATGCTTGCTAAGCTGATGTTATACCACTTAAACCACTCTGCCCATGGAACTGCTTCTAGTAGAACGTTGAGTACTAGAGCTAAGAAATAAACATAATAAATCTTTGAATTTCCACTTAACTGGGGTAATACTTGTGAATGTCTCTCTGTTACACATTAACTAAGCACTCACTAAATAGCCCTTGTACCTTTGCTGCTAGAGATACTGTACTTCCAATTGTTTTTAAATATCTCTCTTGTTTTTATTTAGGAATTATTCTGAAATCATGAACTTTTTCCTCCAAACAATACTAGTGTGCATTGCTTGTTTTTGAGATATGGAATAGGGCCTTGCTTTACGCTTGGACTAATCTGGACTGCGATGCTCCTATTTGTATTTCCCTTTATTGCTACAATAACAGAGGTGCATCACCAAGCCCAGCTTGATTGAGGAGGAATCTTGTGAACTTTTAGATGCTTGGGCTTTCCTTGATCCTGCATCTCTGCCTCCCAAGTAGCTAAGATTATGGTGGTATTGACAGATATGACAGCCACCTCTCACATGGCTGCAAGTACATATTTTTAAATTGCTAACATACCACAACTAATCTGTACAAGTAAGATATATTTGTACCCCCCCCCCCCCACGCACTATTCAGGCAGGAAAAGAAGTTTATTTACCAAACTGCTGCCCCTGCCCTGCAGGGTGGAGAGGTTTGCCTGAAAAGGAAAGGTGGGGGTGGGGGCGGGGACCCTCTCCTGGGCCAGGATTTATCTAGGCCAGGGACTGGAGGAGGTGTGGCCAGGTAGGGGAAAGGTATGGCCACACTGGATCTGGATGTGACCTAGCAGGAGGCAACTGCTTCCAGGTCTGCCAGTTACCTAGGTAACAGATACTGCTTGGAAACTTAGCCAGGAGGAAGGGAGGTGTCCCTGTTCAGACCTTACATTAAGAAACAGCTAAGCACCAGTGGCTCATGCTTTTGATCCTAAATACTTAGGAGGCTGAGGTATGAGAATCACTGTTTGAAGCCAGTTAAGGCAGGGTAGTCTGCCTCCAAAAGCCAGAAATAGAGGTGTGGCTCACATGGTAGAGTACTAGCCTTGAGCAAAAAAGCCAAAGGACAGTACCCAGGCCCTGAAATCAAGCCCTAGGGCTCCCCCCCTCCCCCCCTCCACACACACGCACACACACACCTCCACACACACACACCCTCCCTCCACACACACACCCTCCCTCCCTCCCTCCTTCCCTCCCTACCTCTCTGAAATCTGAAACATTTCTGGTTCCAGGCATTTGGGATAAGGGGTATTCAATCTATATAATCTATAATTAGAATAGCCCAATATTTGTCTCAAAATAGTGCTACAAAGTTTTTACTTTTTGTGGTACTGGAAATTGAACATAGGGTTTTGTACATGTTAGTCAGTGTTATGTTAATGAAATATATTGCCAACCCAGATTGGTTTGTTAATACTGAATATTTCCAGCAAGCAACATCTAAGTCCATTGACGTTATTGGTACTTGAACATTGCTGATATTGTAATGATTTGTTCATTATGTATTGTGTTACATGTTTAACGTCTTTCTTTTATTTAAATTTTACTTTTTCTTTAATTATTATATAAAGAAAGGAGTTTACTTTTAACAAAGCAGATTATGAATACATTGTGTATTGATCAATATCACTCCTTTCATATTTCATACATTTCTTTATATTAAACGTTCTATTTAACAGAATGAAGTTAAAGGAAATAGATCGTACAGCCATGCAGGCATGGAGCCCTGCCCAGAATCATCCCATTTACCTAGCCACAGGTAGGTTCAAAACAGAGAAGATGGCATAAGTAAACAAATTCTTATCTTTTACCTCTAGTTTATTCATAGTTGTCTTTTAAAATGTGGCTTATCTCCTGAAAAATCTCCTTTCCAAGTAAGATACTTCCATTTTCCTTGGCAGCTAAGTTGGATGATCTTATGTGTTCTCTTAACACCTTGTACATTATAACATTCATTGATCAGGACATGTTGTGTCACATATCCTTTCCCACTGTCCAGGGATTATTTTTAGTCTTTCAGTATAATAGGACAACAGATATATAAAATACAGTTTGAATGAATGAAGAACAAATTTGATATAAGCACTTTATTTTTTGTGTTGGTATTGGGTCTGTCCCTGAGCTTTTTTGCTGAAGTCTAGTGTTCTACTACTTGAGCCATAGCTCTACTTCCAGCTTTTTGCTAGTTAATTGGAGATAATACTTAGAAACTTTTCTGTCTGGACTGGCTTTGAATTGTGATCCTTAGATCTCAGCCCTCTGAGTAGCTTGGATTAAAGATGTGAGCCAGTGGCAACCAGCTAATGCATCATTTTTAAATATAAAGAGAGGTAGAGTTATATATTGTGTATGGCTACAAGTACATATAGTAAATAATGGTGCTGTTTCCATATCTACAGTCTTTATATAGATATATACATATACGTATATATACATATATATATACACTACTCACACAACATCGTCTAGCACTGTGCTACAATCTCATTTCTGGAGTAATTGAATCATGTTCTCAATAGCATATGAATACTAATACAGTGTTCATGAACAAAGTAACAAAACTATGGTTTTAATTTTATGCCATTTTCTTGTACTCTTATTTTTTCATGTTTAAATATTATAAGTATATTTTCTGTAGGAACATCTGCTCAGCAGTTGGATGCAACATTTAGTACCAATGCTTCCCTTGAGATATTTGAATTGGATCTTTCAGATCCATCTTTGGATATGAAATCTTGTGCTACTTTTCCTTCTTCTCACAGGTATGAGGTTCAGCCTTAAATTTGAATTATGTGATTAATTATATGATGACTACTTCAATCTGTGATTATATAATTGTTATAAAATAAGCATTAAGTGTTTTTTAAAAGTATTTTTTTGTGAAGATGAAAGGAGTGTTTATACATTCTGCTGACTTTTAGTGCTGATTCTAATGTGTAGGGTGAGACAAAGAAGCTCAGTTCTTAGGTTTTTTTCTTTTCTCATAGTAAACTAAACTTCATTGGTATGTCATATCTCACTTGTTCATGTAGCTATGTCTAGGGAAAGGAGTAGTTATATTAACTATGATGTCTATGTGATTATTTCTTAAGAGCAAGTTTTTTTTTTTGGGGGGGGTCCAGTCGTGGGGCCTGAACTCTGGGCCTGGGTGCTGTCCCTCAGCTCTTCAGCTCAAGGCCAGCGCTCTACCACTTGAGCCACAGCACCACTTCCGGCTTTTTTTTTCTTTTTGCTTATGTGATGCTAGGGAATCGAACCCAGGGCCTCATGCATGCAAGGCAAGCGCTCTACCACTGAGCCACCTTCCCAGCCCAATAGCAAGTTATTTTTATGTTGTTCTTTATTTTTTATTTATTTATTTATTTTGGGTCCGGTCGTGGGGCCTGAATTCTGGGCCTGGGCCCAGCTCTTCAGCTCAAGGCTAGTGCTCTACCACTTGTGCCACAGCGCCACTTCCAGCTTTTTTTTCTGCTTATGTGGTGCTGAGGAATCGAACCCAGGGCCTCATGCATGCAAAGCAAACGCTCTACCACTGAGCCACCTTCCCAGCCCCTTCTTTGTTCTTATCTATATTTAGAAACATACTTTTTTTTTTTTTGGCCAGTCCTGGAGCTTGAACTCTGGTTCTGGGTGCTGTCCCTCAGCTTCTTTTACCACTTGAGCTACAGTGCAACTTCTGGCTTTTTTGGATAATTTATTGGAGATAAGAATCTCATGGACTTTCCTGCTTGGGGTGGCTTCAAACCTTGATATTCGGATAGTGTGAGCAACCAGCACCTGACTAGAAACAAATTTCATAAAAATGTGTTGATATGGTTTCTGGTGCACTGAATATAAATGACCCTGTTAAGTACTTATGCTCTATCATAATGCAGAAAAGGGTGCTTTCATTGAGTAATAAAATAAGCATATTGTCTCAGTGTTTTAGCAAGTTTTAAAGAGATTGTATCTTACCTAACAATATAGCTTAAATCATGGAGTTTTATGGGCCTCTCTTATAATTATGTAACACACACACACACACACACACACTCTCTCTCTCTCTCTCACTCTCTCTCTCTTTTAGAGCCGTCTGTTGTGATGGCAATCCAGGATATATTTTCTCCTCACCACCATCTGTCTCACCACAGCCATGTATGCCACCTTTATATCTTACCTCTTTTATTCTCTATCACAAATCACAGATGTAATTTTGATACCACCTTTTTATTATCATGATAGATTGTTTTCCATAGAAAATTTCAGGTAACTCCCCTAATACCAGCACTGTTTTAACAGAATACCTTTGGCTATTTCATATAGAATGTACTCTTTTTCAAGAAAAGTTGATGGTAGCAGCTCTATTTTATAGACAAAACAAGAGATTAAATAACTTGCCCAGGCTCTCACAGTTTCTAAATTGGTAAAACATATTTAAGTTGGTATCTTTGACATGTAAGTAAACTTTGTTACTTTGTATTAGCCCTGTAGGAATCTTTATGCTAGCCAGCTCTAGTGCTTTACACTTACAAGCTTAGTTACTCACTGAGGCTGAGTTCTGAGGACTGAGGTTCAAAGCCAGCCCAGGCAGGAGACTCTTACTTCCAATTAACCACTAAGAAACACAGAAGTGGCCCTATGGATCAAGTGGTAGAGTGCAGCTTTAGAGATTAAAAAATCTAATATGCATATGCAATTATAAGTAAGAAATAAAACGCCCATTTCGCTGAAGTCATGCAGTTCCTAGAAGTTGAGGAGAAACATGTTTTTATAGTATTTAGAAAAACATAAAAGTAAAATGTGTAATTGTAAGTTCTTTTCTGCTAGTTTCTACAAATTCTGTTTGGCTTCACAAGTAAGTTACTGTGTTCATTTTCTCCTAAAGGTATCACAAGTTGATTTGGGGGCCTCATAAGATTAATCCCAAAGGAGATGTCTCTGGAGTTCTGATTGCAGGTGGAGAAAATGGAAATATTATTCTTTATGATCCTTCTAAAATTATAGCTGGAGACAAAGATGTTGTCATTGCCCAGAATGACAAGCACACTGGTCCTGTGAGGGCCTTGGATGTAAACATTTTCCAGGTTTGGTTTTGATATTTATTCCTAGTTCTTAAAATATGTACTACACTTTTGAAGTAAATTTATGAATCTACTATGCCTCAATTTTAGTATTTATGCTGAAAAAAGGTGCCTGTTATAGCTTGATGAATGAGTTTACTTTGAGAATGGTAAGTTCAAAGTTACGATCAGGATGAGTAATACTCCTTGAAGGCAGCAGGCTAATAGGTCTGTAGGTATTATGTCATCTGACTGGACAGTTTTAATTATTAGGAATTTCAGAGATTAGAAACTTTGGCTTATAAAAATTCATGATTGCAGTCTGGGGTAATTTTGCTTTTAGAACTTCATTTTGTTTTACTTGCTTGATTAATACTTCATTTGTTTAAGGGCACCAACAGTAGTCATTTTTATTCATAATTGAATGTCTAACTCATAAAATAGTGTTTCAATAAATATTACTGCTTGAAAAAAATGTGCTAGTTCTGCAATATGTTGGTGCTATGGTATCTAGGTAAGTTATCATATTAACTGGGAAATTTTGTAATTATGACAAAGATATTATTTACAACTATGAAATAATAAAAACTATACAAATAATGAAAATTTACCATCAGTATTACTGTGTGTGTGTTTGTGTGTGTGTGTTTATGTGTGGGTGATACTGGGGTTGGATTCAGAACCTCACTCTTGCTAGATAGCCATTCTGCTCTTGAATCACATCCTTTTGCCTTCATTAGGTTCAAATAGGATCTCACTTTTTCCTTGAGCCAGCCTAGAATAATCATTTTTGTTAGGCATGGAGCTAGGATGACAGATACATGCCAAACTCAGCTTTTATTGGTTGAGATATGGTCTCAAGAACTTCTTGCTTGGCCTGTCATTGAGCTGTGATCCTCCTGATCACAAGTAGCTAGGATTATACATATTAGCCATCGTGATGGTGGATTTAACTATTTCTGTTTTTTTCCCCATACTTTCCAATTTAGCTATTCCTGAATGCAATAATTGGTGAACTTTTTTGTCTCATCCAATCAAATGCAAAGCTACAGAAAATAGTTTTTCTATATGATTAATATGATTGATTAAAGTTTATTCATGTAATTACTTTTTGTAATATCTTTAAACTTAATTCCATTCTCAGACATATTTTTACTTTAAATAGTTTTGTAATATATTTCTTTATAAAGAACTCTCCCTCCACCTTTTATTTTTTAATGGTACAAGGGATTGAATCCAGGACCTTGTATATAAGGCCTCCTATGTAAGCCCTCTATCTCTTGAGTTATATCCCTACCCCTCTAAAAATTTTTGATGAAGAATTATACGTAATTATTTAAGAACTAGACATGTGTTTGTTTGTTTTTTTTTGGGTCCGGTCGTGGGGCCTGAACTCTGGGCCTGGGCACTGCCCCTCAGCTCTTCAGCTCAAGGCTAGCACTCTACCGCTTGAGCCACAGCGCCACTTCCGACTTTTTTTTCTGCTTATGTGGTGCTGAGGAATCGAACCCAGGGCCTCAAGCATGCAAGGCAAGTGCTCTACCACTGAGCCACCTTCCCAGCTCTGTGTTTTTTTTTTGGGGGGGGGTGGTCCGGTTGTGGGGCCTGAACTCTGGGCCTGGGCACTGTCCCTCAGCTCTTCAGCTCAAGGCTAGCGCTCTACCACTTGAGTCTTCAGCTCAAGGCTAGCCCTCTACCACTTGAGCCAGAACACCACTTCCGGCTTTTTTCTTTTTGCTTATGTGGTGCTAAGGAATCGAACCCAGGGCCTCAGGCATGCAAGGCAAGCGCTCTACCACTGAGCCACCTTCCCAGCCCCCCAGCCTTGTGTTTTTAACTAAATAGAAAACTGTATGTGCTAAAATAGACATTGTCTTTCTCTGAGCAGTTATTTTGAATTTTCTTTATTCATAAATACTAGTTATTTTTAAAATTATTAAAGTGATTCGTTAATATTTCCTTTCTAAATTGTTATAATAAAGGTCATTATCATTTCATAATTAGTTACAATTTGTATTACAGACTAATCTGGTAGCTTCTGGTGCTAATGAATCTGAAATCTACATTTGGGATCTAAACAGTTTTGCAACTCCTATGACACCAGGAGCTAAAACACAGGTAATGTACTGATTTTGAACAATGATATCAAAGGAACCAGAGTAGCTCTTCTAAAGTTATTTGTTTCAGTTTTTAATTCTTTTTCACACAGATCATTGCTTAGATGTCATTGATTTTTCTTCAGCATAGTAAAGTATTAATATAGTAACTTTAAAGTGTCAGTAAGTCCCTTTAAAGTAAGATAGTCAGTAGATCCTTTATTCAGAACTTACCACCTGATAGATACTTTTCATTATAATAGACAAAGAAAAGTATACAAAATGGACCAATATCTTTAATAATTTACATACAGTATTATTTTTAAAAATTCTCTGGATTTTAAGATAAGCTATACTTTCTGTATGTTTCCTGTAGGTTGGGTAAGAACAGATTTTCCCTGCTCTTCTTTGAGTTTTTCTTTATTGTATAATGGCTGATTTTAGAGGCCACTGTAACTAAGCCAAACATTTTGACATTCTTAGAGGTAGCATAATGGTAACATAGCCTACCTTATTTTTTGTTGTAGTCAAGGCTATAAACCTTTTCTGCTTAATTGTTGATCATGTTTGCCAGTATCTGCCTTGCAACAAAATTGCAATTAAATAAATAGTACTTGGGTTATAGCAGGGGTTCAATAAATGCATGTTACATGAGACTGTTTGAAATGACACACACACACACACACGTATGTATCTGTACTTTAAATGGTATTGTTTGTGCTGAGAATCTAGTAATTGAAATTTCAAATGGATAAATCAAATTTTAAAGTAATTATTTTCTAAAATAATAAGGCCCTGGTGGCTTGCACTTATAATCCTAGCTACTCATGAGGCTGAGATCTAAGGATTGAGGTTCAAAGCCAGCCTGGGCAGGAAACACATGAGACTCTTTTTTTTTTTTTTTGTCGGTCGTGGGGCTTGAACTCTGGGCCTGGGTGCTGTCCCTCAGCTCTTCAGCTCAAGGCCAGCGCTCTACCACTTGAGCAACAGCGCCACTTCTGGTTTTCTGGTGGTTTATTGGAGATAGGAGTCTCAGGGTCTCTCCTGCCGGGGCTGGCTTTGAACCACGATCCTCAGATCTCAGCCTCCTGAGTAGCTAGGATTCCAGGCGTGAGCCACCAGCGCCCCGGCTTTTGAGACTCTTATCTCTAGTTAACACCCAGAAAAATGGAATTTGCGTTGTGCTTCAAGGTGGTAGAGTACTAACCTTGAGCTAAAAAGCTCTGGGATAGCACCTAGGCTAGGCCCTGAGATCAAGCCCCACAACCAACTACAACAAAAACAAGAATTCAATTTTATAATTAGGTTTGATTATAATAAAGAAGTTGTCTTTAATAGTTTATTTCTTGTAGCCCCCAGAAGATATCAGCTGCATTGCGTGGAACAGACAAGTTCAACATATTTTAGCATCAGCCAGTCCTAGTGGCCGGGCCACTGTGTGGGATCTTAGGAAAAACGAGCCAATCATCAAAGTCAGTGATCATAGTAACAGGGTAAGTATGTGATTTATAATGAACATGTTGAGTTTCTGATTATTTTTCAGAGAAGACAACAAATCTAATTTTTATCCTGTCTTTTCATTGATACTGGAGTGAATCGAGTTCTATGGAGTTCTCTTCCTTTAGGAGAAGCTATAAAATTCCTGGCAAACCAGGTTGCATACTATTAATAATGACAGGAATTGGTTAAGCAAAAGAAGTATTCAGTGACATGGTTGGTTTTGCTTGCTTAGTTATTTAGAAGCATTGCAGTAGCTTCTTAAAATTCATTGTTAGTGTTTCTTAGGATCATAGGAATTTTTCTTGCTGTTGGAAATGTAAGTGTGAACTTGTGATTTCCAAAATCCTATCTTTATCTCCTACTCTGATTAGGTAAGAAATAAGCTAAAATTTCTCTCCCACTTACTCAATATATGCTGATGTAAGCCCATTAAAATCTCAACCTTACAAAATTTTTAAAATTTTGTCACATACTAGAAATAATTTAGATACAATTCAGAGATTTCTTTGCTTTTATTATATTGATTAATTCGAGATTTTTTAATAAACTGTCCCTCAGCTTGTCAGCCAGCGCAAGACTAGCACTCTACCACTTAAGCCACTTCCAGGTTTTTCTGCTTATGTGGTGCTGAGGAATCAAACCCAGGGCCTCATGCATGCAAGGCAAGCACTCTACCACTGAGCCACTTTCCCAGCCCTAAGTTTGCCTAAGAATACCTACATTTTTTTTTTTTTTTTTGTCGGTCATGGGGCTTGAACTCTGCTGTTCAGCTCAAGGCAAATGCTCTGCCTCGAGCCACAGCACCACTTCTGGTTTTCTGAGTGGTTTATTGGAGATAAAGTGTCTCACAGACTTTTCTGCTGGAGCTGCCTTTAAACTGATCCTCAGATCTTAGTCTCCTGAGTACTAGGATTATATGTGTTTTGTTTTCAGAAAACAAAAATCTGTTAAGAATATTTCTTTAGAAAAGGGTATTTCATTCAAATGCATCAGGAATTTTAAATCAAGTTTCAAAGGTATGAAACATAAAAATCATTTTAGTCCTCTTTCTGGTACATAAAAATATGAACCTCTAGACAATTCTCAATAATAATTTTGTCTCATATGAAATTTAGATGGTAGTTGTTATCCAATCATTTTTCCTTTATTTTTTTGTAAACTAAGATGATTAATAAAATGTGAATTTTAACTGTCCACAGATGCATTGCTCTGGGCTGGCATGGCATCCTGATGTTGCTACCCAGATGGTTCTTGCCTCTGAGGATGATAGATTACCAGTGATCCAGATGTGGGATCTTCGATTTGCCTCTTCTCCATTCCGTTTACTGGAAAACCATGCCAGGTATGATATTATTATTCTAAGGAACTTGATTGCTTATGTTCTAAAACATACTATTTTACATTAGCAGGTTTTTGTTTACTTGTTTGTTTTATTTTTTGTGCCAGTACTAGGGATTGAATAAAGGGTGCTGTCCCTTAGTGTTTTTGTTCAAGGCTAGAGCTCTGCCACTTGAGCTACATCTTCACTTCTGGCTTTTTGGTGGTTAATTGAAGAGAGTCTCATAGGCTTTCCTGCTTGCGGTGGTTCTGAATCTTAATCATCAGATCTCAGCCTCCTAAACAGCTAGTATTATAGGTGTGATCCACTGGCTTCTGGCTTTGTGTTTGTGTGTGTGTGTGTGTGCGCGCGCGCGTGTGTTTAATTGCTTTTTAAAAATTTGAAATAGCTGGGTGCCGGTGGCTCATACCTGTAATCCTAACTACTTAGGAGGCTGAGATCTGAAGACTGTACTTTAAAACCAGTCCGGGCAGGTAAGTCCATGAGACTTTTATCTCCAATTAACTACCAGAAAACTGGAAATGATGCTGTAGCTCAAGTGGTAGAACTCTTTCCTTGAGCTGAAGAGCTGAGGGACAGCCCCCAGACCCAGAGTTCAAGCCCCATGACCAAAAAAACAAAAAACAAAAAAAATGAAATAGTCTTACTACATTGCCTAAGCTAGCTTTGAAAACAAAATTCTCCAGCTTCAGCCTCTTAAATAGCTAGAATAATAGGTATGTGCCACCCTCCACCTGACTAGATATTTTTGAGGTTTTTTTTTCTTAAATACATTAATTTTATTTAACTTTTTTTTCTCTTGCCTTTTTTATTTTGTGAAATTACTTTTTCGTAGTTTTGTTTCACAACAAAATTGAGCTCTGTATACATACTCCTGGCATTTTCAACCCACAGAATCTCTCATTTATAAACACTTCCTGCCAGAGAGGTTGATACATTTGTTACAGTAAACCCATTGTTAATGCATCTGGCCAACCAGAGTTTGTAGTGTATATTAGGTTGACTCTTGGTGTTACACATTCTGTGAGTTTAGACAAATATGAAATGACATGTACAATGTAGAATAAACTAGTTTTTAAATATAAGTGCAAAAAGGAAGAAAAAAAGTGCAAAAAAATACAGCCTTGAAAGTTTCATGTCATTAACCTTGGTTGTACATGCTGTGCTGAGAGAAAACTAAGTCCTTGAGTTTGGTTATCAAGAAGGCATCTTCCAAGGCTGCTTTCTGCACAGGAATCTCCAACTATCACATTAAATATGAAAGCTGAATTTTCAACCCTGCGGTCACATACTCCCACCAAAAGTTCTTTTGAATGCAGCAAATTTTAGTTAACTTCTTGTAGTTCCCTCATGATGAGCAAGGAAAATGTATATGCTACTGATGAATTATATGAGTTTAAAAATAATTCCAATATGAACCTTTTCTCTTCCTCGTCAAACTTGGTGTAAGTGGTCTAGTTTTGTTTTAAAAAATCACGTCATGAGATTGCCAGGTTTCTGGTGGCTCACTGGCTACTCAGGAAGCTGAGATCTAAGGGTTGTGATTTGAAGCCAACCCAGGCAGGAAAGCCAGTGAGACTCTTTATTTCCAATTAACTACCAAAAAAAAAACAAAAACAAAAATGCGGTGTAGCTGTGGCTCAAGTGGTAGAGCACAAGCCATGAGCAAAAGAAGCTAAAGAATGTGCCCAGACCCTGAATTTAAGCCCCAGGACCAGCCCCCCCCCCAAAGAAAAAAGCCACGAGATTGTCTCTACTATAAAGTGGTACATAGGTCATACTATAAAAATAATGATTTTCTAAATTGCTAATATTATTACACTTTTAGACAAGTCTTGAAATGTGTTATATAATTTGATCTTTGCTAAGGTCATCAGAATTATGAAAATGAGTCTTTATAATAGTAATTTGATGTATTATTGTTGTCACTGGTATTTAGATACGTAAAGAGTTTATGAAAATTTGTTCAATATTGTTCAGTAGTATTTTCTGATTTCTTTTAGGGCATTTTCTTCTTTTTCATTTAGGGATATATAGACTTAAGTTTCAAATCATATAGCTTGTCTTCTCTATTAGCTGTAATTCTAGTTTCTAGTAGAGTCTTAATATAGGCATCATTATAGTAAAGACAAAATACTGATAATGACTTTGGATAGGGGAATATAGAGAAATTTTTTTTTTGTGCTAATCTGAATTTTCAGAACTTTTACCAGAAACAAGTTTTTCTATACTAAGGTTTAAAACATCATAAAATCATTACAACTATAAAGTCGTATCCTAGAATTTAGTTTGTAGTACTTCCTTATGTGATATTTTGAAGTTTTTTCTTTTAATCTTGAATACTTGTCTACTAACAGAAGATAGAAAATATAAACAAACAAAAAGAAAGGATCAAGTAGTTACAATTTTGCCCTCCACAAGTAAATTTTATTATATTTATTTAATTTTTTTGGGGGGGGTTCGGTCGTGGGGCCTGAACTCTGGGCCTGGGCACTGTCCCTCAGCTCTTCAGCTCAAGGCTAACGCTCTACCACTTGAGCCAAAGCGCCACTTCCGGCTTTTTTCTTTTTGCTTATGTGGTGCTGAGGAATCGAACTCAGGGCCTCAGGCATGCAAGGCAAGCGCTCTACCACTGAGCCACCTTCTTTGCCCTATTTATTTAATTTGTTTATGTAATTCTTATAGATCTTTTTACAAATAAGATATTTAAGCATATAGTCAGCATTTTTTTTCATTAATCATGAAGACTAGAAGTCATTTCTTTTTTTGTTTTTTGTTTTTTTTTGGAGGGTTTTTTGGCTGGTCCTGGCTTAAACTCAGGGCCTGGGCACTGTCCCTGAGTCTCTGTGCTCAAGGCTAGCACTCTACCACTTGAGCCACAGTGTGACTTCTGGCTTTTTTGTGCACTTTGTTGGAGATAAGACTCTCATGAGAACTTTTCTGACTGGGCTGGCTTCAAACTGTAATCCTCTGATCATAGCCTCCTGAATAGCTAGGATTACAGATGTGAGCCACTGGTGCCCAGCTTAGAAATAGATTTCTATTAACCTTTATTTCTGGTCTAGGAATCAAACCCCAGGGTCTTGTATTTGATATAGAAAAGCAAGCACTCAAACACTGAGCTACAACCCCAAATACTCTACCATCTAGTTTTATCTGTGTACTTTCTCATCAAAAGACAACCTGATCCAGGCATGATCCTGCCTGCCTTCAAGATGGAGGATCTGCCTACCTTATCCCAGTCAAGTTTGAGGCCAGCTAGGCATACTCAGTGAGACACTCAGCAATAGACATAGTAGTGTAATCCCCAATTCCAAAAAAGCAGAATAAAACAAAAATCCCACTTGTTATTTATTATTACATATTCCATGCTGGGCATTTGTTTTCAATATTTTGCTATCATGCATTTTTTTCTCTATATTTAACATCCTATTTATAATGATCAAAAATCATTCATTGCCTCCTAGAAAAGTTACACTAAATTATACTTCTGTTAACATTGTATGAGTCTCTATTCTAGACAAAAATAACTTAATTTTGGTTTCTCAATATTAAAAATTTCCTTAGCTTTTTGTATATTTTCTCCTTCTGTGTTTTTTTATAGGGGAATTTTGGCAATTGCATGGAGCATGGCAGATCCTGAACTGTTATTGAGCTGTGGAAAAGATGCTAAAATTCTCTGTGCTAACCCAAACACAGGAGAGGTATGGGGAGGAAAATGTCTCTCAACCTTATAGCTGTTGTAGTTTTTCTGATTGAAAAAGCTGCGATAATATTCCTCCTAATAAAAATCTCTAAAAGAATCCAAATGGAGCTAGAATGCCATTAAACTAGTATTTTTTGGCTATACTAGAGTTTGTACTCAGGATTTTGCTTGCTGGGCAAACATTTTATCACTTGAACCACACTTACTACTCTATTTTTCTTATTAATAGTAGGATGATTTCCCTTACTTTTGGAACTGTAGATTCTAGTAAGGTGGATAATTATAAGTGCTTTTGTAGTATAGCTAAGTGGTAGACTGCGTGCCTAGCATGCCCAGGGCTCTGAGTTTGATCCCCAGCACTAGTATATACACAGACACATGCTCTGAGGACTCTAGCTTGTTTAGTTATTTTATTTCTGGTTTAATTTTTGAATATGATATTTGTAAGAATATACAAACATTAGGAACTTTAAAATTAGGGAAGCAAAAGGTAAAAAAATAAAAATAATAACAAATTTTACCCCTAGTAACTTGTAAATCAAGTAAATAACTTGCATTTTATACTGTGTCTACCCCTGTAAGTTAAAAATTTATGGAACTGTTTAATGATCATTTTCATATAATTTAATAATTAATTTTGCATGTGACTAGTATGTGTTTAGAATTTGAAGGAGTAGACATTTGATGTATGCTATAACTAAAAGAAGATTTTTTAAAATTCTATCTACAAATTAGGAATGGACAAGTCTTCAGTTTCATCAATAATCAATATTAGCATTGAAGACATGAGAAAGCTAGATACTGTTGGATTTTAAATGTCATGCAAAGTCCAAGTCAAGGACATTTGACTTTTGTTTTTGGTCAGTCATGGAGCCTAAACTCTGGGCCTGGGCACTGTCCCTCATCTCTTTACCTCAAAGCTCTACCAATTGAGCCACAACACCACTTCCAGCTTTTCCTGCTTATGGGGTGCTGAGGAATCAAACCCAGGGCTTCATGCATGCAAGGCAAGCACTCTACCACTGAGCCACCTTCCCAGCCCCCTTGATTTTTTTAATGCCTAAAACCCACACTCCTGTGAATTATCAGTTACCATACTAGCTTATAATTAACAAGTGTAATACCATTGTAAAGATGTTAGTCAGCTCTTTCTATGATTTTTTTATTCCCTTCTAAAGAAAAATGTTAATGCCATATCCTGTTATTTTTGTGCAACAAAAGGAATAGTGTATACATAATTCCTCTCTTGACTGAAAGCTGTGTAGGTCAATGAATGCTTCCCTTTTAAGATTGCTTTTTTTCTTGTTGTTGTTCATGGGGCTTGAACTCTGGTGCTGTCCCTGAGCTCTTCTGCTCAAAGCAAGTGCTCTACCACTTGAGCCACAGCACCACCTCCAGTTTTCTGGTGGTTAATTAGAGATAGTCTCATGGACTTTCCTGCCAGGCTGGCTTTGAACCTCGAGCCTCAGATCTCAGCTTCCTTAGTAGCTAGGATTACAGGTGTGAGCCACTGGCGCCCAGCAAGATTGATTTTTAAAAATATGACCCTGAATATTTTGAATGTGTGTATTTGGATAGTATCAGGCAAAAGCAGTTGGACCAGGGTACCTTTATATGGTCTTTCAGAACAACTACTGCTACTAAGTCAAGAACCTCAGTTTTTAAGGTGTTCACATTTAGTTAAAATGTTTGGTAGCATTCTAGAAAAGTTTACTAAATTATACTTTCGTTAGCAGTGTTGTATGAGTCTCCATCCTAGACAAAAATAATTTAATTTTGGTTTCTCATGATTAAAAATTTCCTCATCTCTTTGTATATTTTTATCTGTGCATTTTCTCATCAAAAGACAACATAGTTGGCTGTTATGATGGACCATTTTCATACTTAAAAGTAAAATTGTACAATTTGTTTCTTCTTTTTGACAGTTCTAGGGCTTGAACTCAGAGCCTGGGCACTGTCCCTGAGGTTCTTTTGCTCAAGGCTAGCACTCTGCCACATGAGCTACAATGCCATTCTGGCTTTTTCTGTTTATGTGGCACTGAGGTATTGAACCTGGGGCTTCGTGCATGTTAGGCAAGTTGTAGTACCACTAAGCCACATTCCCAGTCCTCATATAGTTTCTTTTCCTGGCTAAAGACAGTTTTGTTTTGTTTTTTAAGAAACTGTTTGATGGATGTGAAAGGTCCTGCCTATAATCCTAGCTACTTGAAGGAGATTGGCAGGATTGTACTTTGAGTTTTGCCACAATAAAAATACATAGATCTTTGAACAAAAGAAAAGACAACCTAAGGATATGATTCTAGTAGTAGAGCACCTATCTAATAAGACCCTGAATTTATACTCCAGTGCCACAAAAAAAAAAGTAAACTGTACTTTTGACATTATTTCAGCAAAAAGTATCTATATCCTTTTCTGACTTTTATTTTTTTATTTTTATTTATTTATTTTTTGCCAGTCCTAGGGCTTGAAGTCAGGGCCTGGGCACTGTCTCTGAGTTGCTTTTGCTCAAGGTTGGAACTCTACCACTTGGGCCATAGTGCCTCTTCGGGCTTTTTCTGTGTATGTGGAACTAAGGAATCAAACCCAGGGCTTCATGCGTGTTAGGCAAGCACTCTACCACTAAGCCACATTCTCAGCCCTAATATGTTTACTTTTATCCTAGGTGTTGTATGAACTTCCTACCAACACACAGTGGTGTTTTGACATTCAGTGGTGTCCTCGCAATCCTGCTGTCTTATCAGCTGCTTCCTTTGATGGTCGTATCAGTGTTTATTCTATCATGGGAGGGAGCACAGATGGTTTAAGGCAGAAACAAGTTGACAAGGTAATAGAACAGTGTTGAAGCTGTTGCTTATCACCCTTGAAGAAGATACTGTATAATTATTTTGAAAATGACTTTAACAATGTTGATTTCTAGACAATTATGTGTTTAAAATTTCTTGGGTATGATTTGAAAGAACTGCAGAATAGTGTGTATGTTACAGTTTCCTACCTTTCTTTCTTTTAGCTTTCTTCCTCTTTTGGAAATCTTGATCCCTTTGGCACCGGACAGCCTCTTCCTCCATTACAAATTCCACAGCAGACTGCTCAGCATAGTACAGTGCTGCCTCTGAAGAAGCCACCGAAATGGATCCGAAGACCTGTGGGAGCTTCCTTTTCAGTAGGTGGATTTTACTTTATGATTCATAGAAACAAAGGAATTTTCTAATAAAGAGAATCATTCAAATGGCACAAGTTTGGGGTGAGATGTATTTGTGTTCATATACTATCCTACCATTTTTGTGTGTATGTGTGTGACAAGTCCTGAATCTTGAACTCGAGGCCTGGGCTGTGTCCCTGAACTTTTTTCTTAAGGCTAGCACTTCACTATGCAGCCACAACTCCAGCTTTTTTATGGTTAATAGTAAGAATCTCACTGACTTTCTCAGCCACTTGAGTAGCTAGGATTACAGGTGTGAGCCACTGGCACTCATCTCAATTCATTCATTCACTCATTTAGTATCTGGGGCTTGTCTTGGGGTTTGAACTCAGGGCCTAGGTACTGTCCCTGAACCTTTGCTCAAGGCTAGTTCTCTACCACTTAGGCCATAGTTCAACTTCTGGCCTTTAAGTTTAAATTGGGGGTAAGACTCTCATGGACTGTTCTGCCTGAGCTAATTTTGAACCATAACCCTCAGATATCAGCTTTCTTAGTTGCTGGGCTTATAGGTGTGAACTACCAGCTCCTGGCTCATCTCCTTTTTCATGTCTATCCATAATGTCCATTCCTAAATATTTTCTTTTTGATGCTGTTGTGGTCGTTTTCTTAATTTCCTTTCAAACCATTCATTGTTGGTATGTAGAAACAGATACATTTTGGGTGTTGATTTTGTTCCCACAACTTCACTTATACATATTGCTTCTAACTGGACTTTGGTGGTTTCTTTTGGCTATTCTATATATCAGATGTCATCTGTGAATAGATAGATTTTTGACTTTTCTTTTTGAAGTTTTTAAGTAGTTGTAAAAAGGAGGTGCCATTTAACAAATAAGCTTATGAATATAATGCATCTTGATCGGTGTCACTCCCTTTAACATTCATACCCTACCTTGTCCATCCCTTCCCTTACTTTTCTTAATTTTGTGGTATATACAATGAAATTTTTTTTTTTTTTTTTTTTTTGGTCATGGTGTTTGAACTCAGGGCCTGGGCACTGTCCCTGAGCCCTTTTGCTCAAGGCTAGTGCTCAGTTTGAGCTAAATACCACTTCTGGTTTTCTGGTGGTTAATTAGAGAAAAGAATCTCATGAATTTTCCTACCTGGGCTGGTTTTGAACTTGGATCCTCAGTTCTCAGTCACCTCAGTAGCTAGGATTACAGATGTGAGTCACTGGTATCCAGTTTACACTATGCTTTTTTAATTTTCTTGCTTTTTTATTTTCTTTTTCTTGCTCCTTAACTTTGGCTAGGACTTTCAGTACAATATTGGAAGTGGTGAGAGGTCCATCCTTATTACTAATCTTAGATGACAAACTTTTAGCTTTTTACCATTAAGTATAATGTTAGATTTCGATTTTCTCGTATTTGACCTTTATGTTGAGAAAATTTCCTTTTAAGTACATTCCTGCTGCTAAAATAAAATGCCACAGAGTGTATAGCTTACAGACATTTACGACATTTATAAACAATAGAAATTTACTTCTGATGGTTTTGGACTATGGAAGTCCATGATCAAGCACCAGCAGGTTAATGGTAATGATGACCTGGTCTCTGCTTCTGAGATTTCATTGTTTCTGCATGCTCCAGAGGGAGCTATGTGCTAAAATATGAGAAGATAAAGTCCTTACTAGTTTTTGCCTGTTCTTCTATAAGGCTTTATTCCATTCATCCTCTTGACTTAAATTGCCACTTAAAGGCCCCACATCAAATACTATCATATTTATTTTTTGTTCCATGAATGCTAGAAGTTAAGCATACTTTCAACCCATAGCACTTTTTTTTTCCTTGCCTGTCCTGGGGATTGAACTAGGGGCCTGGGTCTAGTCCTGGGCACTTTCGCTGAGCTTCTGTTCTCAAGGTTAGTGCTCTACCACTTGAGCCACAGCTTCACTTCTGGCTTTTTGTGGCTAATTGGAGATAAGAATCTCTACAGACTTTTCTGCCTGTGTTAGCTTCTAACCTCAATCTCAGATTTCAGCCTCCTGAGCAACTAGGATTAGAGGCATGAGCCACTCATGCCCAGCTTCCATAACACCTTCTATTCCTTCTTTGTGAACTGCATTGTGAAATAATATTGAATTTTGTTTGGTATCTTTCTTGCATCAATCGACAGAATTGAATGTTTTATCCTCCTTTTGCGTCGTGTACATTGTACTTTGATGTTTATATATGTGAACTAGACTTGAATCCCATAGGTGAATCCCACTTGGCTCTGGTGTAGATTGAAAGGCCATCTTCCTTTCAGTGTACTATTGAATTCAGTGTGCTGGTACTTATTGTAGATTTTTTTTTTTTTTTTTTTGGTCGGTCATGGGGCCTGAACTTTGGGCCTGGGCACTGTCCCTCAGCTCTTCAGCTCAAGGCTAGTGCTCTACCACTTGAGCCACAGTGCCACTTCCAGCTTTTTCTGCTTAGGTGGTGCTGAGGAATCGAACCCAGGGCCTCATGCATGCCAAGCAAGCACTCTACCACTGAGCACCTTTCCAATCCCTTATTGTGGATTTTTTGCATCAGGATTAATAAAGGATTAATAAAGGATTTTGGTATCAGAGTAATACTGGCCTTATAAAATGAATTTGGAAGAATCCCCTCCTTATCTAGTTTTTGGAAGTGCTTGGGAATTGGTATTAGTAATTCTTTAAATGTCTGTATTTTCAAGTAAAACTAGTCCTGGCCTTTTCTTTGAGGGAAATTTTGAATTATTGATTCAATCACCTTAATAATTAGAAATTTGTTCTTACTGTTTGTTTAAATGGTAATACAAATGGGTTTTAATTCAAAAGTCAAGTTATGAGGACAATGTACCCTTCCATTGTTCTACCTCATCTTTCCCATCCCATCCCTACCCTCCAGTTACATAGTTCAGTTTTTGAATAATGTACATTGAGTATAATGACTATTTGCTCATCTTTCCTTTCCTTTTTAAAAAATTTTTTATGCTTAGTATAGGGTATATGTCTAGGAATTTACAACTTTTGAGGATCTAATTTGCTGTTGTATAATTGTAATAGATTAAGTATCTCTTTTATTTCTGTGATCTCACTTGTGTAATAATCTATTCTTCCAATTGTAGTTTTTGTTATTTGTCTTCTTTTTCTTTTCCTATTCTAGTCTAGCTAAAGTTTGTCCATTTGTCAACTTTTTTTTTTTTTTTTGTCAGTCATGGGGTTTGAACTCAGGGCCAGGGCTCTGTCCCTGAGCTCTTTTGCTCAGGGTTAGTGTTCTACCACTTTGAGCCACAGCTCTACTTTGGTTTTTGAGTGGTTAATTGGACTTTTCTGCCTGGGCTGGCATTAGAACCCTGATCTTCAGATATTAGCCTCCTGAGTAATTGGTTGTTTATTCACTTGAGTTGTTTTTCTATTCACTATTTTGTCTACTCACATCTTCATTATTTTCCTCTAATAACTTTGGGATTAGTTTTTTCTTCTTGTTCTGTTCTTATAGGTGCTTGCTTTGAGATTTTTAGTCTTTTTAGTATAAGTATTTTCTGCTTTGAATTTTCTCTTAGTGCTTTCACTACATTTCATAAGTTTTAGATTGTTGTGTTTCTATTCAAGATACTTTCTAATATCCCTTGTAATTTCTTCTTTGATTTTACTTTTACATAGTTGTGAATCTTCCAGTTGTCTCTGCTTCTAAAATTTTATTATACTGTGATTGGAAAAAGTTGTTTTCAATCATATCAGTCATAAATTTGTTTGGTTATATGATTTGCAGAATTTCAATCTTAATTATTTTAAATTTGGGGCCAAGACCAGACTTCAAACTTTTTGTCTGATGCTTTTGCTCATTGGCTGATGCTCTGTCACTTAAACTTTGCCTCCAACCCCTCAATCTTAAATTTTTGATTGTTTGGTGGCTTAATATGTGATTTTTCTTGAAGAAGGTTATGTGTGACCTCGAGTAGACTTGTTTAGTCTGCTAATAGTGAATGAAGTGTTCTGTAATGTTTTATGAGTTCCGTTTGTCTGAGTGTTTTCCAAATCCTGTCAGTTTACTGATCATCTGTTGGGTTGATATATCCATTACTGACAATGAGAGATTGAAATCTTCTGTTACGTAGTTAACTGTTTTCTCTTTTCATTTCTGTCAGTTTGTTGCATATATGTTTCATATATATTAATGTTTATTTTACATAGAATGAATAAATATAAATTTCTTATGATATCCAGTATATAGATCTTAGCTATGGAGACTCAGTTGTTTTACATTTTTGTGAAATTCCAAATCATGGTATTACCTAAAACTTACTTTGCTCATTTCTGTGCCTATTAATGTTAATTTTATTTTCATGATGAGTACTGAAAATGAAGAGCATTAATTGAAGGCTAGAATAAGATTGTAAAACATAGGAGAATGTAAGCCACATTCATCCAAATAGATATATGAGTAGTCCATAGTTGATTATTGTAGCAAGTTTGCAATAGACATTTTATGATGATTAAATGTGACCCCATTCATTTTTTTTTCTCTTACAGTTTGGAGGCAAACTGGTTACCTTTGAGAACGTTAAAGTGCAGTCTCAGCAGGGAGCTGAGCAGCAGCAGCAGCAGCAGCAACATGTATTCATTAGTCAAGTGGTAACAGAAAAGGAGTTTCTCAGCCGATCTGATCAACTGCAGCAGGTTGTGCAGTCTCAAGGATTTATCAATTACTGCCAGAAAAAAATTGATGCTTCTCAGACTGAGTTTGAGAAAAATGTGTGGTCCTTTTTAAAGGTAAACTTAGTATTTGAGACTGTTTTATTTCATTATTTGTAAAATTATCTGTCATTCTAAAATCTCTCTTAAACATTTGTAAAAGTATGATTTTAGGAATTTATGGTGAAATTTAAGAAACTAGAGCTTAGGATAGTATTACATGCTTGTAATCCCTGTAATTGAGAGGCTGAGAATGGAAGATCTTGAGTCAGGCCATTCTTGCTTATATAAATCAGTTCTTGGGCTTGAACTCAGGACCTGGGCACTGTCCCTGAGCTTTTGTGCTCAAGTCTAGTGATCTACCAGTTGAGCCTCAGCTCCACTTTTGTTGTATAATTGGAATTTCATGGACTTCAATTAAAATCTTCTGAAAATTGTAAGAAAATTTCTATTTATTTATTTATTATTTATTTATTTAAGTATGTGCTGGTCTTGGGCTTGAATTCAGTTCCTGGGCACTGCCCCTACGCTTTTTTGCTCAAGGCTAGCACTCTTCCACTTCAGCCACAGTGTTGCTTCTTGCCTTTTGGTGGTTAATTGGAGATAAGAGTCTTAAACTTTCCTGCCTGGGCTGTTTTGAACCTTGGTCCTCAGATCTCAGCCTCCTTAGTAACTAGTATTATAGGTGTGAGCCACTGTCACCAGGCAACATCACTTCTTCGGTCAAAATATTTCTTCCTTTTTTCCTCTGACAACCTGAATTGAAGTATTTTTAAAATAGTAAATACAAAGATATATTTAAGAAGATAATATTCAGTAGGCCTATTTTAAATTAGAACATAAACATTATACTAGAAACAAAATGTTTAGTATCTAATAGTAAAATAGTAGAGGGAAATAGAAGAAGAGGAAAGAGAAGAGGAGAGGCTGGATATATTTCTTATCCTTTCAATAAAGAAGAATTTCAGGAAGGGAAGAAATCCCTTTCAAAGAAGTACATTTTTGACAGCAGATCAAAACAAGAAAAATTTCCTGACTGGTCATTTTACTTCTAATATATAGTTAAATTCTAAAATTATAGGCTTTATATTTTATAATTAAGCATGAATTTTGATAAAGAATTTTAAATTACAGAATGTTTCATACAGTGTGAGTTTTGCACTCATGTAAACTGAATGTGTTATACTTAAAAACTTATACATCGTAAATCAGCTTTTTTCAACCAGGATAATTAGTTACCAGTATACTTAATAGTAGCGAGTTAATGAAGTATAGTGGAAAATACCTAACAAGTAATCTTAGTACTTGAGAGGCTGAGGCAGGAAGAATCATGAGCTCAAGGCTAGTAATAGGCTCCAGGTAAGCCTTAGTTCTATAGCTAGACCCTGTCTTTTCATTTGAAAAAAGAAATGAAAAGGCAAAAAAAAAAAAAAGCTAGTTTTAAAAAATCCACTCTTTAGATTCTTTTCTAACAATCTTGAGGATGATAAAGTAGACTTTCAATATTTGTAATAATTTTGCTTAGGATTTAACCAATTTTTATAAAAATATACTTTAAATGTAAGTCTTTGTTTCAAAAATGCTTTGCTTTTTGGTTAGGTAAACTTTGAGGATGATTCTCGTGGAAAATATCTGGAGCTTTTAGGATACAGAAAAGAAGATCTTGGAAAGAAGGTAAGCTTTTGGGAAAGTTAAGTGTCTGTTCTTTAATAAAATATTTGTTTATCTATTTTAATAAAGTTCTTCACAAATTATCTCAAATCTGAAAGTAAACATTTTAGAAGAATTGATGTTAGTTTGCTAAAATTTGGAATGCAAAACTCTGCTTTGTACCTGGATTTAGAATTTGCCAGAACTAATCAAAATTGTCAGAAACAATTTGGCCTTGACAGATAAGACACTGTGAGTCTCAAATAGTAGAAGTAACATTGAGATTTTAACAGGGTATGTGGCCTTGTGTGGGAAAGAAACTTAGAAATCCCCCTATGTTCTGTATTTCAACTTATCACAATTTTCCATATTAGTTGTGCTTATTTATACTTTTGGCACACATTTTTCGAACTTTGTTGAGTTAATCTAGCTAACAAGTAAGTATGTATTTTACAACAGAAGTGTCAATTATTATTATTTTTTTTGGGTCTGGTCATGGGGCCTGAACTCTGGGCCTGGGTGCTGTCCCTCAGCTCTTCAGTTCAAGGCTAGCGCTCTACCACTTGAGCCACAGCGCCACTCATGTGCTTGCAAGGCAAGTGCTCTACCACTGAGCCGCCTTCCCAGCTCCAGAAGTGTGAATTATTGTACTGAATCTTAGTAAATAGAAAATCCCAAGTGATTTGCTCCATAGTTTAACTTTAAAAAATCCCTTTTAGGATGACATTGTCCAAAAAAGAAATGTACTCATTACCTGACATAAAATGATAACCCTTCTGTACAAGACCTTAATAATAACAAAGCAATTATATTTTTAAAAATCTCTTTTAAAAAGATGAAATCAAGCCAGGCGCCTGTGGCTCACTCCTGTAATCCTAGCTACTCAGGAGGCTGAGAGCTGAGGATCACGTTTCAAAGCCAGCCCACCCAGGAAAGTCGGAAACTCTGATCTCCAATAAACCACTAGAAAACCAGAAGTGGCGCTGTGGCTCAAGCGGAAGAGCACAAGGACAGCGCCCAAATCCCAGAGTTCAAGCCCCATGACTGACAAAAAGAAAAAGATGAAATCAGCCAGGTGCTGGTGGCTTATGCCTTTAACCCTAATTCAGGAGATTGAGATCTGAGTATTTGGATGTGAAGCCAGCCCTGGGCAGGAAAGCTTGTGAGGATATTATCTTCAATTAACTACTAAAAGCCAGAAGTGGAGCTATGGCTCAAGTGGTAGAGCTAGAGCCTTGAGCAAAAAAGCTCAGGGATGGATAGCCCATGCCCTGAGTTCCAGCCCAAGAATCAGCACAAAAGCAACCAGCACAAAGCAAACAAATAGCCTCCCCCCCCCCCAAAAAAAAAAATCCTCCAATCAACCTAATAAGAACTTCTGTGGATTTTTGCCAACGAAAAATAGGGTAAGAGGTGAACATTTATTGTATGTCCTGAAATAGAATTCCAGTTAGTAGGTGAGTTGTTATTTTTATTTCAGATTGCTTTGGCCTTGAACAAAGTGGATGGATCCGATGTGGTAAGGAGGTCTTTAAAAATAGCTACCTTCTGAGAAAAAAGCAAATAGCTATCTTCTGAAAGTTGATTAAGTTGTAAGAAAGAAGTATAAGAACTTTATCTGTTGATGTCTTTTGTGCCTTATGGTGTAAAAATAAATGCCAATCCTAAATACTTTAACAAATTCAAAATTCTCAGTTAAGTTTAGCTGGGAAAGCATTCCTTTATTTTGGCATAGTTTTTTAAATTTTGTAAAGGAAGAAAATTGGAATCAGATGACTGCTTAGATACTTGCAGTAAATGTCTCTCGCAAATGGATGACATTTGGTAGGGAAAAAAAGGGAAGATTTTAGCAGTAATTGTTCGTTGCTTTTCCTGCAATGTTTCTCAAGTAAATTTACTTGGTATTGCTTCTTACGATCAAACTAGCTCTTGATGTTATTGGTTGGGTCTTTCATCTTCCTTGTTACTAATAAACTTTTAATGCTACCTTCTTCAACTTCCTGTGTGATTGTTTTGTGTACCAAAGGCTCTTAAAGACTCTGACCAAGTAGCACAGAGTGATGGGGAGGAGAGCCCTGCTGCCGAAGAGCAGCTCTTGGGAGAGGTACTTATTTTTTTTTTTTCATATTATATTGGACAAGGATGTGATATTTATGTATCTCACATTGAATCATAGAAAATTATCTTGACTACCTTACAAAATGAAGTTGTAGCATATTGTTTTCCTAAAACTATTTACAGTAGGAATCTGTTTACCTAGACTGACAGAAATAATCACCTCTGAACTCTAGTTCTCTTACCTTGCTTGTGGATTGTATAGTTTAAAAGTAACAACTCATTTGAAGTTAAATGAATTTGGTCAGATGGCAGTTAGCATGTTAAAACGAAGAGATCTTATTTAGAAATCTGTTTATTGCATGTCAACTTAATTATTTTTTTAGCATACTAATATTTAGGGACCATTACGTATAGTTTAGGCTTTGAATTAGCCCTGAACTTGGAATGCAAATAAAAAATACTCCTCTGAACTAAACTGATTGTCATGATTTACTGTTCATTCTCCTTAGTTACACTACTTATGCTTGATAATTGTTGTAACTAATTAAGAGTCCTTGAACACAGAATTGTATCATTTTTTCCTTTTTAATTTCTGGAGCACCTTAACCACTAATAACTAATTCTATAATTTACTTTTCTTGTTTCTAATTTTATTTCATTTTGGAAAATTAATCAACAAGTTCTTCTCATCTCATCTTTTTCTTTTTCATTGCTCTTTGTCATAGGGGAATATCTTAAATATGGAATATTTTATATAATCATTTAAGTTATAAAAACAATGCATCAATATATTTAGACTTAAGATTATTATTAAAAAATATTTTTCCCTTGAAATCAGTCTCCTAGCATTTAACAGAGAAACAAGATAGGGATAAAAAAATCTTAATAAAATTTGAACTCATTTGTGGGAATGCCTAGAGAGAATTGTAGATGTATAAATATTGTATATTTGTTTGTTTTTAATTACATTAACTATTTTAAGTAAAAGATTTGATAATATATTATGAATTATAAGTAATAATGCTTGAAAAAATTGTGTTTAAAGGGATAAATCTACACTTTCAACAAGTTTGTACCACTTGACCTTGTGTATATTTTAGAAATCCAATAAAAGCTGTTTGTAGAAAGCTAATTTGAAAAAGTTAAACGAGGAAAGTTTGATTTGTGCATTATGTATGATACTGGGGATTAAAACCAACGACTCTTACAAATGCTTTCAAATGCTTTATTCACTTGGGGAAAGTTGATTTTTTTTCTTTGGTGGGTAGTGGCGCTTGGACTCTGGGCCTGGGTGTTGTCCCTCAGCTCTTCAGCTCAAGGTGAGCACTCTACCACTGAGCCACAGCGCCACTTTCTGGTTTTCTGGTGGTTTACTGAGTATGGCAGGCTTTGAACCGCCATACTCAGATCTCAGCCTCCCGAGTAGCTAGGATTACAGGTATGAGCCACCGACACCCGGTTTATAGTTGATTTTTTTGTAATACAAATATTAACTAGTTGCACATGAAGTTATGCTATACTCTGCAGTAAAATGTTTCAGTTCCACAATGCTTTTAATTTTAAGAATTTACATTAAAATATACAGGTAACACACAAGCACAGAAGATAGTTTGTCTTGTAGGAGAGCAGGATTTTTTTGTGTTTTTTTCTTTCTTTTTTTTGTTGTTTTGCTGGTCCTGGGCCCTCTTCCTGAGCCTCTTTGTGTTCAGGGCTAGTGTTCTACCCCTTGAGCCACAATGCCACTTTCAGTGCTTTCTGAGTAGTTTATTGGAGATAAGAGTCTCACAGACTTTCCTGCCCTGGCTGGCTTTGAACCATGATCCTCAGATCTCAGCCTCCTGATCTAGGATTACAGGTGTGAGCCACTGGCACCCAGCAGTATTTTTCTTTAAAAAGAAACAGTTTAGAATATTAGTATAGACTTTACAAGTTGAACATTCCTAATTGAACTAGAATTTGGGATTTGAATTATTTCAGATTTTAATTTTTTCCTGTAAATATTCAAACTATTGCCCTACAAGTTCTCTCTGTCTATCTGTCTGTCTTTCTGTCTGTCTCTCTCTCTCTCTTTTCCTCCCCCCTCTGTATAACCAGTTTAACCTGTTCTGTCAGATATGACTAATTTGGGAGAACATGAAATATATAATTGGATTTGGGTATATTTAAATATTTATAAATACTATTTTTTCTTTATGGTGCTAGAGATCAAACCCAGGGCCTCACATATGCTGGGCAAGTACCCTACTACTGAGCTGCACTTATCTGCAGCCCCCTATATTGCTTTCGAGAGTTTAGTTGTTGTTGTTTGTTTTTGCTGGAGCTGGAGCTGGAACTCAGAGCCTCAAGTTCTTGCTAGACTTTCTCACTCACAACTGGTGCTCTACCAATTTTCCATGTCTGCACTTCCACTTCCAACTTTTCTGCTGGTTAATTATAGATAAGACTATCTTGTTTTTTTTTCTGCCTCTGGTCGCTTCAAAACCAAGATCCTCAGATAGAAGCCTGCTGAGTAGATAAATTATAGGTGTTAGCCACTGGCTCCTGGCCCTATATTGCTTTTGTGCTGAGAAACATCAAGGATTTTTTTCATGATTTAATTAAAATAAAAAACGCTATAATCAAACTTAGTAGGCTGGAATGTATAAATGTATAGAATTGTTTGTTTTAAAATTTAAATATAATTTAAATCGTGTACATTTTGAATGTTTAAAGCTACTCAGAATAGGGCATCTAAAAAAACAGATTCTTCATTGTTTGTTTGTTTGGGTGCCTGTTCTGGGCCTTAAACTCAGGGCCTGGGTACTGTCCCTGAACTTTTGTGCTCAAGTTAGTAATACTTCTTAGAGCCACAGCTCCATTTCTGGCTTTTTGGTAGTTAATTGGAAGTAAGAGTCTCATGGACTTACCTGCCTCAGCTGGCTTTGAACCATGATCCTCAGAGTAGCCTCTTGAGTAGCTAGGAGTATAGGTGTAAGACACTGATACCTGGCTGATCCTTTACTTTTGGTAGTAACTTTGCTATTCAGAGCTGGAGTATCTTAGAAAACGATATTTCTTCACTTTTTTTTTCTTTTCTTATGCTAGTCATGGGCTTGAACTTGGGGCCTGCACTCTGTCCCCTGAACTTCTTTGGCTCAGGGCCAAGTCCTTTACCACTTAAGCTACAGGTCCACTTTTGGCTTTTTGCTGGTTAATTGGAGATAAGTGTCTCATAGACTTTCCTGGCCAGGCTGGCTTCAAACTGTGATCCTCTGTTCTCAGCCTTTTGAGTAGCTAGGATTACAGGCATGAGTTATTGGTGCCTGGCAGATTCTTTACTTTTGATAATAACTTTTCTGATACCTATAATAAATAGGTACACTTGTATTTGGTTGTGGTTTTCCTTCCTTCCTTCCTTTTTTTTTTGGTCAGTCATGGGGCTGACTGGATGCTGCCCCTGAGCTTTTTTGCTCAAGGCTAGTGCTCTGCCATTTTGAGCCACAGCCCCATTTCCAGTTTTATTGGAGATAAGAGTATCATGGAAACAAAAAAGCCAGAAGTGGTGCTGTGGCTCAAGTGGTAGAGCGCTAGCCTTGAGCTGAAGAGCTGAGGGACAGTGCTCAGGCACAGAGTACAGGCCCTGTGACTGGACCCCCCCCCCCAAAAAAAAAAGAGTATCACAGACTTTCCTGCCCAGCCTGGCTTTGAACTGCAACCCTTATAGCTCAGCTTCTTGAGGAGCTAGGATTATAGGTGTGAGCCACTGGCACCTTGCTTTAGGAAATTGTTAACCACAGGGCTCCCTTCATGTGGGTTGAAGCTCAAATTTTATATTATTTATATGTGTTACAAAACCTCCAGCCAACATAAGACATAAAAACCTGGTCGCCATAGCTGTGGAATTTAGGAAAATATAAATATAAATCCTCCAGCAAGGCTCGCCTTCAGTACAAGTCACAGGGGAAGGGCAATCATCAACTAAACTCACCAAACCTGTACTCAAAAACCTGTAAAACATCAACAGGGCTAACTCACTATTAAGTGCAACTTAGCAAATGAAACCAAATAGAAAAATTAGATCCCCAAAACATTAAATAATAATACCAAGGGAGGTAAACCATCCAATAACAGTTTACTCAGAATTTAAACAAGAGCCAAACCAGAAAGTCAAACTTTTATTTAAAGACAGATTTTTTATTTTTAATTTTGTCAGTTGTGGGGCTTGAACTCAGAGCCTGGGCGCTGTCCCTCAGCTCTTCAGCTCAAGGCTAGCACTCTACCATTGAGCCACAGCGCCACTTCCGGCTTTTTCTGATTATGTGGTGCTGAGGAATCAAGCCCAGGGCCTCATGCATGTGAGGCAAGCGCTCTACCACTGAGCCACCTTCCCAGCTCCTAAAGACAGATTTGAATTAAGTACTCGATTGTTTTTCCATATTGCTATGCCAGGCCTACTCATTCTTTGACTGCAGCTGAGCACCCGTGGCTCACACCTGTAATCCTAGCTACTCAGTAGGCTGAGATCTGAGGATCATGGTTCAAGCCAGCCTGGACAGAAAAGCCTGTAATACTTTTTTTTGGGGGGGGGTCCGGTCGTGGGGCCTGAACTCTGGGCCTGGGCGCTGTCCCTCAGCTCTTCTGCTCAAGGCTAGCACTCTACCACTTGAGCCATAGCGCCACTTCCGGCTTTTTGCTTATGTGGTGCTGAGGAATGGAACCCAGGGCCTCA